GTGTGTATACCAGAGCTGGACACTGTATTTTGGTAGTGGTCTTACCAATGCTGTGTACATAGAGGCAAGATCACTTCCCTAGTGTTCTCTCAACGTGTATATATTCACTCATTAACTCATTTATTTTAAGAGAGGCATAATTTTCCTACACTTGTTTTTAAAATGTATTGGAATGACATGTTAGTTGTTAATGTACAAGAACCGCAGTCACTGTGTGAGATTGGATGAATCCTGAATTGTTTCCGAGACTATAAGATCAATATTTGTTATATTTGTAATCCATATGATTACATGTGGCTGATTTGGGGGAGGGAACCACACTAGGAATTAAGAGAACCAGATGAGAGGGTGCTCCAGGTTAACGGCACTTCATTCAGATTTCAACCCCTGCATATCTACATTGCCAGTGTGCCACTTTTTTACAGCTTTTGAACAAATTTGCGGCCAAATTTATGTCTTGGTTACATATGTGCAACTCCCCATCAAGTGCACTGCAGGAGGGAAAATCCTTCCTGACCCCTGCGGGTGATTGGCTGAAGACCTGAAGCATGAAGTTAGTGGGAATTGTGTGTGTATAAAAGACCATAGTGTTAAGTAAGCGTTACCTTTTTGGGGGAATCCCCATAGGTTTTTGGAGGGGATAATGCTGTGTGGGGCAGCTGTCTCTGGGTCCAATTCTTGGCCCCTTCTTAACCACTGAAAGGTTTCCACGAGTCCAGGGAAGGCGAGATGGAGGTGGCTGGGGTGATCACCCAGGTTTTCATCTCCTTCATCCATTCAGGTGGAATGAAAAATTTAGCTCATAGCATTTTGTACCTTCAAAATATAATTCAAATATTAACTAACTGATCAACCAATTAACCTTTACAATAGCCTTGGAAGTGGGTATTGTTGTCCCCGTTTTACAGACAGTCAGACAAGAGATTAAATAACATGCCTGAGGCCACACAGTGAGCCCCACAGTGACAGAGCCCCAGGTAGGAAGAAGCAGCAACAACTTTACCAGAAGTACTACCAGCCCAAATTTTGCCCTTAGATACACAACCATAACTGAAATCCCTAAAATCAGTGGGATTGCCTGGATGTAAGTGAAGGCAGAATTACACTCCATAATAAGCACTTGGAGTACACTTTGTTTTGCCTGCTTCTGATCACTTATCTTTTAGTTGTGATAATACTGAAATAACAATAGTGTTCTGAAGCAAATACACTCTGTTTTGTGTTGACCATATATGTTTGACTGTGTAATCTTTTTTTAATGTGTCCTGTTTGATATAGGCCAACAAGAGCTCAATATTCTCATACTATAACAGGGTGTGCCTCCAAACATGTTAAAGCCTCTCCAAGTTCTATTTAAGCCATGAATCAGTCAGCTATTGTGCTAGTTACTAGGTAACATTTTAATATTTGTCTCCAAGCCTGACATACATTTCTGTGTTGCATCAGAGGACAAAACTTGATCTGTTCTGTATGTTTAGATTGTGGTAAATGGAGAATATAGGTTTTTTTTTTTTATAGCAGCATGTTGTTGGCTAGTACACATGGACATACACACCACCATCAAGAACAGTAAAATGAAACCATCCAAAATTGCCTCACGTTAAACAGCCGACTTGTTATATAGGTGGTCTAGCAGATATCAAAGAAGCATGACACTTTTACATATTTATTTATTAACATGCTTTTTTTTTTTTTTTTTGCTCACAGATAAGGGGGCCAGATTGTGCCAAGTCCTTGTGTGATACAAGGATTGGGAGGATAAAAAATCTCCCTCCACTGCCTTGTAATACCCATTCAGGGGAAGTGCCCGAGGCAGTTGAAGTCCTTGATCTCTGGGGACCACAGGTGGGATGGTCCTTCATTGCATCCCAGGGTACACTATGGCCCAGAAGGAGCAGGAAGACCCTGATAGCACTATCCTACCCCCTCCATGCTATCCTGTAGAGCAAGTCACCTGCAGCAGGGGGACAACCTGTGCTTCAGGCCACTGAGGTAGTGGTCTGGTTTCCACGCCACCCACGCTCAGGCCTTTTCAAGGGGGAATAGCTAGTGGATCCACATAATTGTTGACCCACCAAAACTAAAGCCAATCCTTTCTCAGACTTTTCTCCTTGAAGAATTAACCCCTTCATCTGTCGTCCTTAAATAAACAGACCTTCACAACACTAAGTGAAACTGTTCTGTGAGGTGTTTTGACAAGAGATGGAGACAGTAGCTGTTGTTTGGCATAGTCACATTAAACAGACTGCCTTTGGTAAAAGCACTTGATGAATACATTGTCCGTTATTAGCACAAATTAGAATGTTGTGTGCACACAGTGTTTAAAAGAGAGGAAGATGTGAATGCTTGTTGCATATATTTCAACTACTCTCTGTGTATTGTAAGTGAGAAAAAGGTGACTCAGAAGAAGTGTGGTGATGATGTGTATGTAGCATTACGTGTTTGGGGGTGGTGTGCTCATCTGTGTTAATGTGCGTCTTTACTACATCACAGTGAGGGTGACTACTATGAGATGGGGTGGCACAGATACTTGTTAGTCATGTAGCAAGAACTCAGGTGACTTTATATGTGCAATCTGCTTCTGCCTCAGGGTATTGTGTTGTAGAACAAGATATAGAGGCCTCATCCCCTGGAGTTTCTGTTACCTGAGATAGATTAAAGAGGTTGTCAAAAGGAATATTTGTTTCAACCCTTCATGTAGACATTTTTATGGATTATGATGCATTTTGTTTTCAGAATGTGCCTTTACTTTTCCATTTTTGTATTGCATCCATTCTGGAGAGAAAAATGGACTTGTTTACATACAGTATTCAGAACACTTCTATAGTTAGGTCAGTTGTATGTTGTATCCCAAGTACATTTGGAGAAAGTAAACCTGTGACAAATATGTCCAGGATATAAGAAAAGGAGTGGAGTACAAGCCTGCTTGTAAGAGTTAATTGTGCAGCATAGCTCCATTATTGCCTTAATTAAAGTGACACTATTCACTTGTTTTATTTCTGCTGAAAATATATTTACCCACAAATTTTACACGTAATATCTAAGAATCCTATACTTAGTTTGTTTACTTTGTGCATTGTGATGACACTTTGTGTTATAAACAGTTTCACTGTTTATCTTGTACAGTTTTTCCTCTTCAGTGTGGGTCTTTTATACAGCAGACCAGGGAGATAAAAATGTCTTTTGAAAATAGAAAAATGTGACTAAATCCACAGTGTGATAGGGCATGGCTGCCGCATAGTGCACTCTGCTGGTTGAGTGTGGCACTACCAGCCGCCTTCAGTTTCCTTCCTTCCTTCTATCTCTTCATACACTGGTCTGTGCTGGAGATGTGACTTAGCCCTCCAGCTGACCCACAAACAAACATAACTCCTTTCAGGATAGCAAAAGTCAAAGTAAAAATCCCAACAAAAAAGGAAGGTTCTTCAGCCTTTCAGGGATTTCTCTTCAGGCCACCCTTTGGGCTATATTTGATTAGTCTTTCTAGCTCTGGGATAGAGTACTTGGCCTCCCAGGCTGGTTCCCTTGGAGTACCATTCTCTGCTGCTGCTCGGGTTCTATTCCATGTATCCTTCCCTGCTCTAGTACAGAGCACTGAGCTCCCAGGCTAGTTCACCTGGAGTACCTGGCCTCCTGCCTGTGGTTCCACTCCCAGACTGATATCTCTCAGCCATTTTATATAAGGCCCAGGTGTCCATTAAACTATCACCTGACCCTCCTTAGTCCTGCCCCCTCAGGCTGGGAAGCAGGGAATTAATTACAGCTTGGGTGTGGCTTAAAGAGGTCAGTCACCCACTGACCCACCCAAATTGGCAGACGGGATCAGGGACAGATTTAGATTTTTTTTTTTTTTTTTTTTAAAGCAATTTTTAAAATTGTGTATGTCCTTTTAAACTTCCTTTAATTTTGTCCTATCTTTTTCTGTGATGAAAAATTCTAGAAGATTTTGGAAGTGCTTAATGCAACGCATTCACCATGGACTAACCTTAAATTTGTCTTCCTTTTTTGAAAGTCTTCTAGGAGAAAAGAGGTAAATGAGGAAAGTGACATTGCCACTGTGTTCATGTGAACTATATCGTAAAGTGCAAAGTCCTACATTTAGGAAAAAAGAGTTTAGATAACATTCCCTGGGTTGGGGACTGTATTCTGAAAAGCAATTCACGATAAAGTTTAGAGTCTTAGTGGATAACGAACTGAACATGAGCTCCTAGGACAATGCTGTGGCTAAGACGGCTAATGTAATTCTTGTTTGTATAAACAGAGGAATATTTAATAGGAATAGTGCAACAGTTTTGAGACAATTACTGGAATACTAATTCCATTTCTGGAAGCTGAAGGTAGATAAATTCAAGCTAAAAATAAGGCACAGTTTTTAAATAATGAGGTTGATTTAACCATTGGAACAACTTACAAAGGGATTGGTGCCTTCTACATGACTTGAAGTCTTCAAATCAAGACTGAATGTCTTTCTGAAAAAAAATGCAAAATATGCTGTAGCTCAACTATGAGATATGGGCTTGATTTAGGAACCAGTTCATGAAATTCTGTGGCATGTGTTACATCGGAGGTTAGGCTAGAAAATCATAATAATCCCTTCTGGCCTTAAAAATCTATGACGCTAAGAGTGTATATTAAATGTTATTTTTGGCAACATAATAAATCCATAGATGTTTCAGCATTGGAGAGCAGGATTCTTATATATTCCAGTATTCAGTTAGAAATCTGCTTTTAGCATACTTAAGAGAAGAGGCTGTTTCTACATTATACCTTGGGAACCCTACCTACTCACAGAGAAGTAGAATAGGAGTATGTTTTCTAGTTTGGCAGAGAATCAGAATAAAAGTGATAGGCCTAATCTCCAATCCTCACCCTGAATTTTAGCCTGAATTTTAACAAGCCTATATACTTGCATGATACTAGCGTCTGTATTAATAATCGTCTTAACATTTTATGTGAAGGTGATATTGTTTTGAAGTAATGTTTTGATTTTTTCCCCCCAGACACAGCCCCCTTCTACTATTGCAACAAAAGCATCAGATATGAAGCCCACTGAAACAAAGGTATGAAGTCCTAAGGAATGAATCTTCGCGATTTATGAGTCAGAAGACCTGGATTTTACTTCAGACTGTCACTGACTCAATATATGACCTTGACGAAGTCACTTATCTATACCTTAGTTTCCACATCTGCAAAATAGGGATAAAGACACTTGTCCTCTTATGCAAAACACTTTGAGGACTGTGGATTAAATTAATTAATACTAATATAACATTTTAGCTTATTTCAGAACCTCTGAGTTATGCACATAGGCCCTGATTCTGCAAACCCTTAATTACAGGTGTAACTTTATTTATGTGAATAGTCCCATGTGAATAGTCCCAATGAAGAATTTGGGCCTTAGTTAGTCAATGTGAAATCACATGTTCTCGTTAATGATACCCTCATTCCTCTCTACTATCTTCCTTCCTATTGTCTTTTACACTTGAAGACACAGCACAACAATAAGGTTGCAAGCTCCTCAGGGCAAGAGGCTGTTTCATCTATGCCTTTGTAGAAAGGGGCCTTAATCCTGATTGAGGCTTTTTGGTCACTATCGTAATATAAAAAATATAACAATGATGTTTTCCCTCCTCTCTGCCTAGCTGTACATTCTTGCTCAGGATCAAAATATTGAAACTGACAAAAATCCTGCCCTCCAGAATAGGGTTTTTGCTCATTTCTATACCTTGTCAGCTTTCTGAACCAGATTGGGTAGGGAACAATGTAGTGTCGTACAAGATATGGATTTTTCTAATGTTATACATATGTGACCCTAATGCCAGACTGGTAGGTCTAAGTTCGATCATGTCACTTTGAGGTTGAAGTCCACTGTCAGCCTGTTTATGTTTATTAGCATTACAGGAGAATCCACTTCAACATTCTAATTTAGTCTGAAGTCCGATTTAACAAGTGAAGCTCATTTGCCAAACTTCTACAAAAAACAGCAAAAGTTAAAATTTTCAAAACGGTAGCACCTTTAAAATCACCAACTACTTGAATGTCAGAATATTTCTTGGTAAAAAGCAACTTTCTCCTTCTTTTCCTTTGTACCACCTCTGCCAGTTCAAATAGTGCTATGCTGTAATTCCTCAAGGATGTTTGTCACTCAGCTCTTTTAACAGTCGCAGCTACAATGGATGCCAAAATATCTAATTTATAAATCTTAATCTCCACACACAGTCCACAAGACCTAGCTACTATACTCCTGACAATAAACCGGACAATTATTAAACCTTTGTCTAATCCTGCGTGATCATCACGACGCATAAATTTAGAGATTCGTTGTTTGTCTGTCACTAATTTAAGATGTTTCCCGATGATGATAGATTAATTATGAACCTGTATCAAAGAGCGAACTCACTCCTAACATGCTCTAACCCCCTCTCCCCCAAATGTCCTGATATTTTCTTCCTGTCATCTGGTCACCCTAGATGAACTCTGAAAGCAGGATCCTGATATGTTTCTTTATCATCTGCTTACAAGGTCTAAACAGGCCGGAAGGAGCTGAAGTTGCATTTGCAAACGAAAACACATCTGGCTATAGATTTTATTTCCTAAATCAAACTATTACACATCTGATGCCACTTTTACTGTGAACAATTCTGTTTAATATTAATTTAAAAAAATACATTAACCCTCCCCCCTAGAATTTAAAACATAAACAGTCCAGTAAATATACAATCAAATTCCGAGAAAGTACTACTTGCTCTATAAAAAAATTGTCACATATGGTTACTAATAACAATATTGGTTAAAGTGAGCAGCACAGAGGTTTGAATTTAACTCTCAGTAACAGATATCTCTAGCAGTTTCAGTACAGGCTGTTTTCATGTACAAACATAAATGGTAGTAAAATATTTTATCTCATTTTTCCTGTAAGTCTCTCTACGTTTCTTGGGAAATGCATTTTTAAAAAACCTGAATTTGTACTTTAATACCAGGCTACTTCAAGCCATAGCCAGACCAGTGGACAGCAGTCTCACAGCAGGAAGAGACACAAAGTTCAGGTGATGCACAAAAGACTATGTCTCTGTCTGCAGTCACAGCAGCAGCATGTTTTCACCACTTAATTACTTCCACCATGAGTCTTTCATTTATCATGCTTATTCACATTGCAATCTTCCTTATGGGCCCAACACACCTTGGAGATCAATCATCAAAAACAAATTCTAGTTCCTCACACCTTCACGTCGGTTGTACAGGCGAGTCTCATCTTACGCGGAGGTTCCGTTCCGCGGTTAGCGCGTAAAGCGAAAACCGCGTATAGTCAAAATTACATTTTGTTGAATGGCGGGCAGAATCGCCCGCACTACAGGTACAGTATTAAAATTGTTGTTTTTCTCTTTTTTTGTTTTTGTTTTTGCCGACCGCGTAAAGCTGAAATCGCGCATGTTAAATGCACGTAAGATGCGACAGACCTGTATTTCCTTATTGCTCCAACCATCAATTAAAGGCAGCTCATGGCAAAAATTTGTTTGATTGATAATGTAATAATGTTAGAACAAAATTTCTAGCTTCATCTCTGCACAAACACACACAATCTTCTTGGACCAGAAGTCCTGGAAGATTAGGATACTTGCTTCGATAACTGATTTACTTGATTGATGGTGTTAAGTGTGTGTATCAGAATATGTACATGTATTTGTATGCATGTATACATACATATGGTAGGTATACAAGTGTACCCTCTCTATAATGCCCTTCATAATAGTGAACCTTTGACTATAATGAACCTGGTCCCTGGATCCCACCTCTGGCCCCAGGGCCATGACGGAGGCTGATAGCTGCTCCAGCCACAGCAGCCGCAGGGTTCAAGGTGTCAGCCCCGCCCCAGCGGCAGGGCTCTTGAACCTCGGCCTATAACAAGCAAATGGCTTGGATCCCCAGGGGGTTCGTTATAGCGAGGCTATACTGTAGTGTGTAAATGCATGCAGACTGTAAATGTATCTGAGAAACAAAACTTCTTGATCAGTTTTAAAGTACATGGAAAGTCCAGAAAGTATCAATATGTTTAAAATATATGGTCTATGAGGTGAAGTGATTTATTTTCAGTGTGGAGTACAGGAAATTTCACTCCTACCTCCAAAGCATTCCCTTTTTCTGTGGTTTGTATGATTATTTACTGCATACATTATGATGTGGTGCTATATACCTTAATCTGCGGCTTCAAAATCTTTGTGTTGCTTGCACCCATGCATGCATGTGCACATGCACGCACAGCCTCAGAATTTCACATGTAAATTTATTGTGGATTTGTGCATGGGTTTAATATAGATCTTTTTTTTCTTAATTGTTGCATATTGAGTAATGAACTGTTCAGTAAACTACACGGTGGGGTCAACTAATCCATGTAAAAGCCAAATCCACCTAAATAGTAGTTTATAATGCCTCTCAAGTGAAAGAAAAAAGCTTGCAAAATTACAGTAGACAAATTGCATGCTTAAATAATAGTCAAGCGGTTATATCAATTGTTTTATTTTAAAGGTGATTCTATTGTAGGTGACTATAAAAATGTGGGTCCTTATTAGTTTCTCTGTCTCTAAATGTGCCTACCTTCCAAGTAAAAATGTGTTTTCTAACTGATGGCCTGAAGTTCAACTTGCCGTATGGTTACTGGAGCCAGGCTTTCACTCAATAATTATGCAGCTAAAACTTAGAAAAAATACTGTTGATGATACATGATCCACTGAAAACTCCAGCTAACTCTCCAATAGCTATGTTAACTTTGAAGGAGTACAGTAAAAAACCTAAAATTAATAATAATAAAAGTCAGGCCATGTGTACACTGCAGTGATTTGCCACATAGCTGTATTGCTCAGGGGCGCGATATGTGACAGACATAGTTGTGCTGGCAGAAGCCCCAAGGGTAAATGCTTTTATACTGGCAAAACTGCACTTTTACTGATATAGCTCAGGCTGGTCTACGGTAGTATGATGACCTAAGTCCCTGTGGAGATGATAGTAGATTGATGGAAGAATTTATCCGTTGACCTAGCTACTGCCTCTGGGGAGCTGGATTTACTATAGCGATGGGAGAGCCTCTCCCATCACTGTAGTAAGTTTCTACGTTTTAGTGGTTTAAGTGTAGACATAGCCTTATTTTACTTGGGGAGAAGAATAAGCTATGCCAGCAAAAGCACAGCTATGCTAGTATAGCTGTGTCTGCACTGGGAGTGCTTTGCCAGGATAGTATCCAGTATAACTATACTGACATGGTCTCAATAAAATAAGCAGATATGACTTAGAACAGGGGTGGGCAAACTTTTTGGCCTGAGGGCATCTGCATATGGAAATTGTATGGGCGAGCCATGAATGCTCACAAAATAGTGGGTTGGGGTGCGGGAGGGGGTGAGGCTCTGGGCGGGGCCAGAAATGAGGAGTTCAGGGTGCAGGAGGGGGCTCTGGGCTGGGGCAGGGAGTTGGAATGCGGGGGGAGGGCTCTGGGGTGTGGATGAGGGGTTTGGGGTGCAGGAGGGTGCTTCAGGCTGGGACCAAGGGGTTTGGAGGGCAGAAGGGGGATCAGGGCTGGAGCAGGGGGATAGGGCACAGGAGGAGGTCAGGGGTGCAGGCTCTGGGCGGCGCTTATCTCAAGCACCTCCTGGAAACAGTTGCATGTCCTCCTCTCTGGCTCCTACGCAGAGGCGCGGTCAGGTGTCTCTGTGCGCTTCCCGGTCCACAGTCGCCTCCCCTGAAGCTCCCATTGGCCGTGTGTGTGTGTGTGTGTGTGTGTGTGTTTATCTGCTGTGTTTTGACCCTGCTCCAGTAACTTATAATGCATGAACAGGGTTCTGTGCCCATGTGTTGTAAATTGGAGGATGAGGGCATTATTTATTTATAATGCAGATATATTTGAGTGATTGTGTATGTATAAAATATGCAATATGTTTTAAAACATAAGAAGAACTAAGCTTAAATGTTTTAAAACATAAAAAGAACTAAGCTGCTTTTTTGATCTTTTGTTCTGAATATAATTTTTTATATATTTTAGAGCACACAAACTGCAAAAACAGAACCTGGAAAAGTAGCACAGTCACTAAAGGTAAGCTACTACTTTTATTTAATCATTGTGCGTTGTTCTTCTTCAGAGAAGTTTGTAATGATAAGCTAAATTCTGCCACTACTGGACCAGATGCTCCCATCTTCTCATATGGGTGAAAGGAAACAAACCTGCCTGCAGATGAGGTAGGAACAGGAGCTCCGCTGTTAGGAGTTGACATAGCACATTTCTGGGGAGCAGACACTCTGTTGGGCTTCCCCTCTACCAGCAGATTTCTAAGCAGAAACCAGCATTAAATCCACCCTGCACCTTTTAGGGCATGTGTGGGTGGGAAAGAACAGAGAAAGCTGACCTCACTGATTCTCAGGGAAGGGGGGAGGTGCTCATAGAACTTGATGCAGAGTCTGCGTTGCTGCATGGATGCCTCAGAATTCACAAGGATATAGTCTCCTGCGTACTGCTTTCTCTCCTGCAGAGTTTTCCTAGGGAGACGAATAGGTAGCCCTATCTGCCTAGTAAATAACAGGTTTTTTAAAGTTATTTCTTTTTTTTTTCTTTCTCCTTCAGTAGGCAGGGGAAGGAACCTGAAAACTAGTTTTTTTTTGTTTGTTTGTTTGTTTGTTTGTTTGTTTTTTTTAAACAACAACCCTAAAGTAAAAACAAGGCAGAATGATTCCAGTACATTGATTTTTTTTTTTTTTTTTTTTTTTTTTCCCCCCTGCAAGGACATATGCAAAGTTTCAGCCCATTACTATTTTTGCCCAAGATGAAAATACACATTTACAAAGAAAGATAACCCATACTTGTAGATCTTTTCTCTCAAACTTTAAACAGTGAACGAATGAAGAAAAATTCATTTCCACAAACCTAGACTATGCTTTTTCTCATATGGCACCTGGGTGTGAACTTGCCAGCTGAGCTAGCTGAATATGAACTGTGCCTTTCCTTGAGATTACTTAAGAGGCTACAGGAAAAACTGTCACTATGAAGTAAACAAATGGGAATGTATAGCTAACAAAAAGGATATAAATAACTTGAGAGAAATATGTTTACAACCCTTTGAAAGACCTCTTTGTGTTTAAAGCTTGGCTACAACTACTCCCAGACGTGGCTTTCCCCTTTCTAGTATATTAAATCCTATACAGCCTGTAGGATGTGTATAATCTGGTTGGAGCAGGAATTGTATCTTCCTTTGTTTGTGCAGCCCTGATACTCAGAAAATAATTATTTCCTGTGTCTCTAAATTGTCTATCAGAACAGATGAAAGTTACATGTATGTTAAGTAAACTAGACTAAAAATCCATTGAGTTGAATACCTCTTCACAGTTAAATATATTCTAATATATCTGTATTATTATTGACAGCCAGCTGATTCTCAAACTAAACATCAGTCTGAAGAGAAGCAAAAGGAACCTGGTGGGGTGAGTTATTTACATGTTCTTCTGCTTTTGTTTGTTTCGTTGGTTTGTTAGTTTTCTCAAAACAAAAACACAAGAATACTAAAATCTGTCCTATATATTAATAGCATATTTATGGTTGTACAGGCAAAAAGCCCATCCAAACCTTCTGTAGCGAAAAGTTCTAAAAAAACTAGTCCAGGAAAAGCGGCCACCGGTCAGACTGAAAAGTCAACGCAAGTATCTTCAATAGAAGAACCAAAGGTAAAGCAGAAGTGGCGAGCCCTTTATTACGTTGTTTGTTTGTATTGGGGGAGTACCTACTAGCCCTAGTCACGGACCCCATTGTGCTAGGCATCTGCAAACACTGAACAAAAAGACAGTTCTGGTCCGAAAGACAGACTGCCTTTTTGAAGGTATGTGTGACAAAGCTTTTTGTGCTGCATTAAACTACAGTCTAAGCTACATTAAGCACGTATAAAACTTTACTGTTTGGGAGTTAATGGGTCCTTTGCATTTTTCTTATTTAACTTTAATAATACCTTGAATGTTCTGATTCAAAAGCACTGATGAGAATAGTGTTGCAAGCATTGTCTACAGAATATACATGACTGAACATCTCATTGGAAACAGCCTCTTTTAATAGGTATTCTGTAATAAGGGTGTTCTGTCAAGTTTCATATCCTCTCTTAAGCTATTCTTCGCTTTGTAAGGTGTCGTGGATGTTTTTGAAGGTGAACCATATAAAATTACTGGCAGTTGCAGGCCTGCCTAAGCCAGAAGTACTGCACATTTGAGACTCTTGTCACGTTCCCCTGCAAACTCCGCACTGCTCAGGCTCAGGCCATTCTTTGGGTATGTCTGCACTGCAATGTAAGCTCAGGGTTAGTAGAACTCAAGTTAGAAGACCCTGGATTTGTTAACCTAGGGCTTGAGCATGTACACTCAGTTATAACCCAAGTTAGGAACTGTTGAACCCTGGGTCACAAACCCAGTGTCTCCAGTGCATTATGTGGGCCCAAGTCCAATAACCCTTATCCCAGACTTCCTAGCATCCTCCCAAAATGTGGTTGCTCTAGCCCTTTCTTCATGATGCTGTGTGGGAAAACTTGACCTATCACCAAACTTGACTGTTCAGAGGACAAAGCAAGTTCCTGTCTGATTGTGGAATACTTTTGGGAGACTCTGAGCACAAGTCCAGTAAGGCTGCATTTACACTGTAAAGCAATAGGGCTTGAACCCTGGGTCCCGGCTTGACTCAGGCTCTGACCTTCTACCTCCATGGGGTATTGGGACCCTGGGTCTGAGCCCTGCGTTAGCATGATTTGTGTGTAGACAGAAGAGGGGTTAGGCTTGAGCCTGAGTCTGAACCCTTGGCTTACATTGCAGTGTAAACATACCCTTTGTCAATTTGTTCCTCTCTTTCCATCCTTAATAAAACACGTGAGCAGATTGGGGACCCTAGGGTCAATCAAGGGTGTGTGCCTTGCTCTGTTTAATACATGAGCGCTGCCCTACTTGATGTTTGGCTCCCTTTTCTGTTGAGTGTTTCAGGCAGATTTTTGAGTGCCAACGACTGGCCCAAATGTGGAAGCTGGCAGGATGCAGATGTGCAGCACTCCCCACAGTCTGCAGGACTGATGGGAGCTTAAGGAGAGGGAAAAGAAGAACAGAAAGGGTAAATTCAGAGGGGTCAAGGGAAAAAAGAGGGCAGAAAGCAAAGTGGGAGAATAAACATTCAGATTACTCTCTCATTGGGTAAATCTCTCTGATGTCTGCCTAGGATTTAGGGTATGTCTACACTGCAGTGGGAGGTGTAATTGTAGCACCAGCTGGCATACCCCCCTAGCTTTAATGTAGCTCCCATGGCTAAAAATAAGGGTAGAGGCAGTGGCATGGACCCCAACCTGGGCTGTACAAGCACGTCTGGAACTTGAGGTACATACTTGCGTTGCTAGTCTGTGCTGCTCATCTACACTGCTATATGGAGTCATGCTAGCTAGATTAAAGCTAGTGTTGGCATTCCTACCTGAGCTGCAGTCACACCTTTGATTGCAGTATAGAGGTATCCTGGGACTTGGTGACTCAGACTAGATAACATGGAGTGTGAGGTCAAAATCATTCCCTGTACACCTGAAGCATGAAGACTTCCTGGACTGTAAAGCCCCACATCTTTCATGTTTTACTTATAGGGGAATGAGTTAGAAAATTGTGGGTAAAAATCTCTCGTGATTTGTGGCAGATTTTGAGATCTGAGATTTTACAAATTTATTTTACCTCCTGTATTTTTGTTTTACTTCCTTAATTTCCTAGCCTCTCATGCTGCCTTCATGGCTTCCCTTTCTCGACAGATCTTACTTTAGGGAGATGGATCTGCATCTGGAGTGGGCTGTGCCAGATTGTGCTGCTCCTTGTAGCTCCCAGGCAGTGGAAGGTTTTGGGGGAAGATTCCCTAAACTCCTCCCTCTCGCCACCTCCAAAGAATAAAAAATCAAGGCTGGGGAATATACCATGTTTGTCTCCGTTACTAGGAGCTTCTTTACACCCAGGGTGTCTTCAACTTTAAAGTGTATCTGGGTGGGGGGGGGGTAGGCAGTGTTTGTGGAGAGTCATGGAATCTGTACAACCTAGCAGCTGCCAGACTTACTGCTTATTAAAAAATAGCATGACCAATTTTGGTTTATTCAATTTCATATGAGTGCCAAATATTTTAGTAGATAATAAACTGTTTGATTAGAGAGAGAGAAGATGTTTGGTATAATATCTTTTATTGGACCAACATCTATTGGTGAGAGAGACAAGCTTTCAAGCTTACCCAGAGCTCTTCTTCAGGCTCTGTGTAAACTCGAAAGTTTGTCTCTCTGACCAACAGAAGTTGGTCCAATGGAAGATATTACCTCAAATACCTTCTCTCTGTAGTATCCTGGGACCAATACGTTTAAAACAACACTGCATACAAACTGTTTTAGTGTATGTTATAGACTTGAGACTGCATAATGTAAAATACAATCTTTTTTTCGCCATCACCAGCTGCTATTATTGGACTTCAGTCATCTACTGAGTCTCAAGTTAGTTCAGTGAATTAGCGTTTTTTCAGAGGAAGCTGCAGTAAATGAGAATTTCAGAGACTCAGAACTCAGCTTCCCATCTTGATGTTTTATACTTGTAGTGAACCCCGCATATGAAGAAATATAAACTAGCAGAGTAAAATTACCTATTTTAGTGCATTTTGGGTAGAATTTTATAATATTTTTATACAATACTTACTAAACTTCAGTACCATTTGCTTTTAATGAACTTTCTCCTTCTGCACCAGAAATCAGTGTGTCGTTTGTCGTAAGCTATACTATCTCAATGTTGTCAGAGGAACGAAAGAGAGAATCCCACTAAAACTGCACCTTTCCTTCAGCACAGAATGTTGCTTAGCAGCATTAATAATCTTTTTCCTGTTCTGTCCTTGAAATTTGCCCAAAAGTTGTATTGACAATTGGAGTAATGTAGGATATATACTAGGATAGAACATTTCCATTATAGTTCTCTTTTTAAAATTGTTAGCACAAAGTCATATACACTCTTCTACTTTTTCCCCCTAGCCTAAAACTGAAAATAAATCACTAGCTAGTGGTGCAGCTGGTGCAGCTGCAGCTACAGTTGGTGCAGTGACTGCTGCTGGTTTGGTTGCGACAGCTGATAAGCCAAGTGCTGAGGTAGGTAGCTATAGTCTAACACAAATCAACTGCTTTGTATTAACCTAACTCCTTTACACTGGCTTTCAGCACTATTTTCACCTTTTTTTCAGACTAAAGAAAATAAATCAGCGGCTCCATCTTCTGCTGTCGAAGCTGCACCTACTAAGCCACCTGAAAAAGTAGGTAACAATATACTGACATATAAGCTCTCTTGTATAAAACACAACTTTCCCAATTTTTAATAGCCTTTCCCAAATCTAACATTATCAATAATACTTCAGTATGTTTCATCTTTAAAAATAAATCTTTACAAAATATTAACTAATTAATCAGCTGACTACAAATAATCTTGTTATTGAAATTGAGAGGTAACTGGTAAACAATTATCTTTGAAAATGTTTAATATCTGTTGAACTTGTACTGATTCAGAGCAGGTTTCTAGTTTTGGTTTCCAGGAGTTCTCTGCAAAGGATCCTGTTTCCTTCCCCCTGCTCCCCCCCCCCTAAAAAGTCTCATTTATACACTCTTCCATCAAGGTCCTAAATTGCAATGATCTGCATTGAACCAGAGAGGCTAGATGCCTCCTTCTGGGGGAAAAGCAAACCCACACCACTGAAGTTCATTCCATCTGTGGTAACTGCCCTCAGTATTGTTTTGTTTCCTTGTGCCAGTAGTGCAAGGTGAGCCTTTAAGATCATGTTTGCTGCATCTCTGCTAAATTTTGGGTGTCCACCATAGATTTTCTTACTTTCCTTTTTAGCAGAAATAATCAGTCTCTTTATGATTGTGGCTTTTTGACACTCTGTTGCACCATATCAATGTCTTATCTGATCTTTATTTATTTTATAAGTTTAAGGGAAAATCAGTAGAATTTCACACTCCCACACTTTTAAACCAGTAGAACTAGAAACAAAACTGATACTGCATCTATTGGAGAGGGGGCAGTTGAAAAGTCTAGAGCTAGAACAGTTCTTTATTGCATGTTAGCTTTTCCTATTGGGCCAAATCCTGACCTTGGCTCCCCTGCAATTTGGAAGTTGGCCAGGCTTCACATCTCTGCCCCACTGTAGGCCAATCTTAATGGGTCGCTATCATGGTTAATAACACAAAAAAGACCTTCTATAAAAGCTACATTAATCACGATGGTGTCACTTTTAATAGTTGATTTAAATAAAGAGGAGCTAGATCACTGATTTATTTGATTAACAAGCAATAGACTACTGGATTTGACTCTACGTAATGGACAGATTTTCTTCTACGATCCCAGGCTCATGTGACGTGAGTACTTCCCTTTGCTGAGAGTTGACTGAAGACGGGAGAAATTCTTGTAAATTTCAGTGAACTCCCTTGTATGCATGTGTGAAGCCGACAGGCACAACAGTAAAGTTTTGTGTTCTCCTGTATTTGCATAATAACCTAAATGTAGATGTTTTTTTTTTTTTGTTAGGTTTAAGGAGAGATTATTTTTTTGTCTTTTTCTGTTTCTTTGCAGTCTTACATTAATGCTACACATTGTGATACATCTTTACATGCTGTGCAGTGCCTTAACTTGTATAACTGTCTGCTTATTTTTCCAGTTTGATGTAGATAAGGCCTTAGATGACCTGATAGATACACTAGGAGGACCTGAAGAACATGTCCCTCCCAGTCCAGTCTACACTGGTCCAGAAATTACGGTATTGAATTTTTTACGTCACTTGTTATCATACGGGCTGAGTAATTATCCCTGTGATCTCATAACATTTGAAATAGATTCACAATTTCTCTGTAAAACATAAGGAATGCCTCCCACACGATACTAGTGTTGTTTTTAGCTGTTAAGAAATGTTGCAACTATAGATCTACAGTAGAACACAATGGTGAAGTGTTAGCAAACTGGAAAAAAGTTGCTATTTGAATCGGTCACCAAATATGGGCTTGTCTGACAGATTTACAAAAGAACATGTTTTTGTCAAAGCTGCTGAAAGGGGAGAGAAAAAAGCTTGGATAGGTGAAGGGAATTCTCTCTACTTACTTTTTTATTTGTCACATAGTAGAGCATTAGGAATCTGAGACAATGGTGTTCATTTCTAAATGTGGATGTGTGGGGAGAAGAGAGGTTGCAATCACAGTTGATGGGGAGGGTAATGGAGAAGTAAGAGAGTGGAGTAGACAGAGGTGTTTCCAAAAATATCTAAAATTCACATTTTATCTGTATCTACATTAAAAGATTGAGATTGACCATTTATTGTACTTGACTCTCTCTCTTTTCTCAGAAGTATCATTAGTGAGTATATCACCGGGTGGCTGGCCCCTTGAAGAGGGAGCAGGGCCAGTACACCTGTGACTGGTCAGCTGACCTCAATGAGATTTAAAAGAGGGTACCTGGACAAGGGGGAGACACTTGATGAGTCAGAGCCAGAAAGCTGCAAGAAGCAGGAGCAGCAGGCAGTCCTGCAAGGAGAGGAGGAAGTGGGAACCTGCTGGGGAAAAAGCTCTGGGTGATGTGGGGCTCAGCAACCAGAGCGTGGAGGATTCCTGAAGGAAGGACAAAGAGGCAAAGGGGACAGTGCTCTGGGAGCTGTAGCCCGGGGTGGGCTGAGGAACTGGTTTTGTTAATTTTGCCTGTGTTGGAAGAATAAAACTGCTTGGAAAGAGACTCTGGGTATGGCAGTGGGTTCTTTGTGAGCTGGGGAGAAGGCCAGTTTATTACAGGGTAGAATGCCATTTTATATAGTTATCTTTGTAAATTGGTAACTTAAATTTGGTTTCAACAAACATTAATACAACAATATTAACTACTTGTTTTTGTTTCAGGATTCATGTTCTTCTGCATATATCGAAGAACTGGGTAAACGGGAGGGTTCTATACCTCCAGGGTACAGAAAATTATTGGAGGTAAGTAAAGTGAGCAAAATAAGACATGCAATAGAGTTCTGCTTGTATAGTGGGATTATCTTCCATTCACCACAGAAATAACTCTTCTTTCAGGGTAAAGGAGATGACCAAGCTGTACCCCCAGAAAAAACAGAACCACCACCTCAGGTAAGGTTAGATTTACATCTCAAAAGGTAAAAATAGGTCATCTGGTTCTTGGGAAAGTTCTAATTAACTTCTTCCGACATGAGAAAATGCCAAATTCCAGGAGGTGCTGACCACATGCAGTTCCTGTTGAAGTCAATGGGAAGCTTCTGGAGTTTTGGCACCGAATTTTTAATTAACATACATGGTCTTGGTCTTGGAAAACTGAAAGAAGTTGAAACAACTAAACCAAATACTTCTGAGAAATTGAACCTGATAATCTTAGACTAGCTATTGACAGTTATGGATGCAGGAATCCTTGAGTACTTTGTGTGGCAAAGAATGCTTAAATCTGTGTGCTTAGCAAGGTCATAAGAAGAACAGCCATACGGGGTCAGACCATCTAGCCCAGTATCCTCTCTTTCAACAGTGGCCAATGCCCCAGGTGCCCCAGAGGGAATGAACAGAATAGGTAATCATCAAGTGATCCATCCCCTGTTGCCCATTCCCAGCTTCTGGAAAACAGAGGGTAGGGATACCATCCCAGCTAATAGTTATTGATGGACCAATCCTCCATGAATTTATCTAGTTCTTTTTTTAAACCCTGTTATAGTCTTGGCCTTCACAACATCTGCTGGCAGGTTGACTGTCATTCCTTTAGACAAGAGCAGGGATCGGCAACCTTTGGCATGTGGCCCGTCAGGGAAATCTGCTGGTGGGCCGGGACGGTTTGTTTACCTGCAGCGTCCGCAGGTTCAGCCGATCGCAGCTCCCACTGGCCGTGGTTCGCCGTTTCGGGCCAATGGAGGCTGCGGGAAGCGGTGTGGTCCGAGGGACGTGCTGGCCGCCGCTTCCCACAGCCCCCATTGGCCCACCGTAGGAGCTGCGATTGGCTGAACCTGCGGATGCTGCAGGTAAACAAACCGTCCCGGCCTGCCAGCAGATTTCCCTGATGGTCCGCGTGCCAAAAGTTGCTGATCCCTGGAATAGAGTTTGATTTCACTATAAGCTTACACCTAAAAGAAAATGAAAGGCTGCATTTTGATGTGAAGTGTATGAGGAAGTGTAGGGGTGTTTCTTTCTGAGACAAAAGTATAACAATGACCCCTTAAATACATATTGCTACTTCAGTAAGCACACAGTGCACATGAATTATAAACTAGGTTTTGACAGCCATTGACCTTTGAATGTTAACCATAACCTACTATGCAATTTCTGTTTAGAAACCAATGACAGATGATGATATTGCAGATGCTTTGTCATCTGATTTTACCTGCAGTACTTCTACTCCTGGAGAGGAGAAGACAACTCTTAAAGAGGTATTGATTTTGCCAACTGAGAATTTTTTAACTTTACCTTTTTACACTTTTTGCAAATTTTGCCAGTAACCAAATGTTTCATTTTCTCCTTACATAACAGAAGCCAACAGCAGAAGGAGAAATTGTACAAGCACAGTCAACAAGTTCAGTCAGGAGTTCAGCTCCTCCTAAGGAGAAGAAACCAAAACTGGAAGAGGTATAGATACTCCCTTTTTTGACTAATTTAATTATTATGATGTATCTGTATTTAACATACTTCATGCCAAAATGTGGGCCTGATCCTGCAAGAAGTTGAACATCCTCGGCTTCAGTTGAAATTCTGTTGAACATATTAAGTACAATGGGAATTGCAGGTGCTGAGAGCCTCTCAGGAGGTGTTCTCTGCATGTTACAGGATTGGGCCTGCGTGGATCAAATAATTCTGCTTATGGAGTCATCTGCAGGGCTCCCATAGGCCCAATAAACATAGTATAAGAGCTGGTTACAAAAATGAGCTTGCTTTTTTTAGTTGTGTGGGATGCTTTTAATATCAGGATAATTTCATTTCCTTGTATTCGTAAAACTGACCTTTCCTTCCCATATCTGGAGAGATAATGTAATTTCTAGTTCAGCTAAGGCTATGCAGTGAAGTAGTCACTGTCTGTAGTGTTGGGGTCTCTGCTTTCCTCTCTTTGAGGAAGTTTTTAGTTTGATTAAAAGCTGCTGGTGTGATCAGAGTTTGCCATCTGCTACCCTCTCATGTTAAGGAAATGTGGTGAAGCAGAGCAGAAATTAAAAATGCCATTTTATCTCTTTTTGAGCGCAGACACACTAGCATGCTGCTTAGTTCCATGCAGAGTGTAGAGGAAGACACATGTAAGGTAAACCCTGTGCCTTTTTATGAATAATCACAATATGATTTGCACATTTTCTTAAATTCAGGCAGCAATAAGTGATGATGCACTAGATGCCCTTGCTGATACTCTTGGTGCACCAGAACCTGAACCGAAAGAAGACCTTCGTTCCATTGTAGAAGTCTCAGAGGTATAATTAAATTTATATTGTATCAGCTCCCAAAACTCCATTTTTCTAGGTGTTGTACAAATGCATAAGAGGAGAACAATCCATACCCCAAAGAACTTACTTACGTAGACTGCCGGTCCTTCATCAGTTAAGACTGAGCCAATCACAACACGTCTTCCAATCTTCTCTCGCTCTGGCCATCCTTCGCCATGCTTGTCCATATCTCCTTGTTAGGAAATCATCCCACTTCTTTGGAGGCCGACCGCATGGCCGTTTCAGTTCTCACGGATACCACTCAGATATAGCTGCAGTCCATCTGTTGTCACTGAGTCGGGCCACATGTCCCTCCCACTGCATTTTGCTGAGCCTGCTTTCAACAACATCTCCTCGCATTCCAGACTGCTGCCTAATTATTTCATTGGGGATGTGATCGCGGAGCAAAATGCCCAAAAATGTTCGTTCCATTGCCCTCTGTGTGACAGACGGTTGATGTTCTTCAGTATTCGTCAGCAACTATGTTTTGCTGCCATATAGCATCTCCGGAAGCACGGTTGAGTTAAAAAGATTCGCACGAGTTGTTTTGCTGATCTTTCCTTGGAGGATGTCCCTGATGTCGTTGAATGCGCACCATCCAGCTTTTTTTCTGCGCGACAGTTCACCTTTCTGATCATGGTGCATGTTGACTTCCTGGCCCAAATAAACGTATTTGTCGACCTCTTGGATCTGCTCTCCTCCAAGAGTTATTTGGGTTCTTGGCAGAACATCTGATCTCATATATTTCGTTTTCGACTGGTTCATTTTTAATCCAACTTGACTACTTTTCGCGTTCAGTTCTTTAAACATTCTCTCAAGCTGGATTGTATTTTCAGCGATCAGCACTGTATCACTATAAGATATAGATCACTATAAGAACTTACTTAAGTGACAAAAAACAGACAGAGAGAGTAGAAATGGGATACAACCTACCAGAGAAGGGGACAGAGTAATGACTGGTGTGCTTCTTGTCGGTTACACTTAAATATATTTCTAACCATTGTCTTTTCTCTGACTATTTTTCCTTTTAACTCTAGTTGTTGGGTTTGGGGTCGGAGGGGGGAGTTACAATTAATAGCATTTTCTCTTGTAAATAGTTCCTGTCTGACTTTTTTCCTGTTATTTTTGTATTTAGCCTGAATCTCTTCAATGTCTCTTAACTTTAGTGCTCATTTGGTATTTAATCTTTGCATGTTTTGAGTTTTATCTTTACATCTAACACCACTTGCCTATTAGCTTTACATTATTTTATCCCTTCTCCATATTCAGTAATCGCACAAAGCAGGGGAGTGACAGGAAGGCAATGGAAAATTAGTTGCTGTTGAAGGTGTCCGGAGTGCTGGTGCTAGTTCTGAACTTGATAGAAGGCATGATGTGACATCAGAAGAGCTGACTGTCAGGAGAGTCTAGAGTCATTGTGGGAGGGCCTCTAGAAGAGCTGAGTGCTTTGGAGCTCATGGAAGGACTCTGGAGGCATTAAGGGGTGCACTGCTGGGACTCCATGTCCCCAGGTGGTTGCTCAGTGGAGAAGGGGATACAATCCTACTCATCCTTTATCTCTTTCTGCTACTGATGTGGCCAGGGTGGTGGAGGCTGCCAGGAAAATTGGGAGCTTTGTACTGCGCCCCCTGAAGGCCTGTCAAGGCAGTGGCCAGTGACGTTTATGTCTCTGCTGTGTGTCTTTGGGTTGTGTTTGAAGTGTAACACATCATGGCCATGTTCTACACTAGTGTTAATTTCAGAACAATGGGGGTTTTTTAACCTAAATTTGGCATGAATAGACCATAGAGGCCATCAAAGCATAGAATGGCTTAATCTGACTTTAGTGCCATTTAGAAAATTTAGATTGGAATGATCCTCTTTATTGAAGAGGGACTGTTGGTGGTTTTTCCTGGAATTTCTGTTCATCTATATTTGTATCCTTTTCTTCAGGCAAAAGCTAAAGAGAAAAAAATAAACAAGGCTGGTGAACGTGATGATACAATCCCTCCAGAATACAGATTGAAACCAGCAATGGTAATTTTACATCTCTACTTTCCTCATATAAATTATAGGTGTCTGAGTAGTTCTGTGGTTGTGTCACAGGCAGGCAGTGAAGTTGGGGAAAGTAAAAAGTGGTGGAACTCTATTAATGACTAACTCTGAATGCACCCTGCCTGGATGGCTCCTGTATCCCCCCAACCCTTTCCCCTTCCTTGAGGGTTCACTTAGAACTCTCCGCTGTCCCTCAGAGTAATGTGATGGATGTTGAGGAAAGGAACATGTAGACTTGCAAACAATATTGGCATTTATTTGGAATAGTTTCTCATGGAAAGTGCCAGAAGCACCATTTTACAACTGGATGTGTCACTTATATCTATAAATAAATATGTCTGTGGGGCTCATTCATGTAGTATGAAGTCCTGACAAACACAATAGAGAAGTATTATCCACATTTTACCAATGGGAGCACACAGAGAAGGAGACTTGTTCAAAATTATCAATATTGATGCAGTTAACAATGTATACATTTCAACTGTCATCATTAGGTTTCAGTAGTAGCACATTCCATTTTGAATGGAGCAGTTTTTACCTCTCAGAGACTTTCAGTGTGTCTAATTGCAGATCTGGGAAGCTAACCTAAATAAACTGACATTCAGACGATTTTCTTCAGAGCCATAAAGACTACAAAGTTAGGACCTAACTTACTATTGAGTTATCTCCTGTTTTAAATTGATATTGAGTTAATCCAACATAAAACTGGAGTAATGCAGTGGTGACTGGTCTCAGGGCTAGATTCTCAGCAGTGTTCTGACTCCTTTTTGCCACTCAGGTATTGCAGAGGTATCTGACCAGATGAGAATTCCCCTGATATGGGGGTTCTTTCAGATGATGCAGAGCCAGTATACCCGGGTTCCTATGTCATCCCTTCCCTGGCCTATGTGTCTGTGTTTATGGGGCGTAATATGTCAGTGGTGTGGCCAAAATGAGATGTGTTCCTACTTTCCCCACTTGACATACAGTTCCTTGTAGACCATTGCCAGCTGTTGTTTGGTTAGGTCTGCTCTAACCTACAGTAGTCCTGTAGCCCGCACATATGGGCCCTGAGACTCAGGAAGCCATAACAGGCTCCCAGATGTTCTCCTCTCTGCTGCACTGAGTGAAAAGTTGGTGCAACAGAGAATCTGGGACTAAATGTTTTCTGTAAATGAAAGCTTAAATGCTGTAGTAGGAATGGCCTGCCAGAATAGTATTGAAATATATTCTGGCTCACTTTGTGCCTAGTCACAGTTTCTGGGGCCTTCCACTGTTGGCAGGCCCCATGGAAGGGGGTGAGGAAACCTGCTGCTCCTACCCTGTACCATGAAGATAAAATGCTGTGTCCGTGGAATTCTGTATTGTTAGTGCATGTCATCAAATGTGATATGGCACAGATTTTGCTGAATGTGTATTTTCATTTGTTTTCTTTAATTCCTGGGTGTGTACGTGTTTAGCTATCTTTCCCATTGCAAATAACTTAAACTTGCAATTGTTTGCTGGCATGGAAGCCATGTTTTGTAATAATAGAAAAAAACTAACAACAATATTTATGTTTTTCCCTGCAGGATAAAGATGGAAAACCATTATTGCCAAAACCTGAAGAAAAGCCTAAGGTTAGAAAAGTAACAGTATTATAGGATTGTCACTAGATATCCTGGTGGTTTCCTGTTGGTTGGTTTTGTTTTCCCTTTTTGTCCTGTATTCTCCTATGTTCCTAGTATAGCTACACAGTCTTGGTCCCTATTTATAGATGCACTTGTTTACACACTGTATAAGTGTAACTGATTTTTACTTTCTAGCCATCTGTCTCTGATATTGAAGTTGAATATTATTGTTCTGTAGGTAGATCTTGAGTAATACTGAAATGCTTCGCAGTTCTGGGCAACTACATCTGTATTCCCCCTTTACTGTGGTCCGCCAACAGCACCCACTCTAGGCTCCACAGAGGGGCCTCAGGTGTCACGTCTCTCTTGGGTGGAGACATACGTCTCTCTCCCTCCTGACCAGGCTCGGGTATTTCCAGGCTGCAGAGTCCCCTGACTATACTGTGATATCCCCAGTTTAAGCAGGCTTCTTTTGCCTTCTCTTCAAAGATGATACACAATGTAATAGCCGGAGGTATAAGTTACCACACAGCTCTTTCTGAGTAAGCACATTTATTCTTAAGATAAAAGAAATGCAGATAAAACATAAAAGAACCTACATGCATGCTAATAAATGCTGATACCATATTCCTCCCATTACCTATACGTGATCTGTACTTGAAACGTTGTAATAGTATACTGTCATACTAAATGTTAGGCCTAATCTACACTTAAAACTTAAGTCAATGTAGGTACGGCATCAGGTGTGTGAAAAATTCACCCCCCTGAGCACCATAGCTATGCTGACCTAACTCCCAGTGTAGATGCAGCAAGGGTGACGGAAGAATGATTCTGTGGACCCCGCTACTATCCCTCAGGGAGTTACTGTTTCCACAGCAATGGAAAAATGCCTTCTCTCACCATAAACTGCACTTATGCTACGGGGTTATGCTGGCATAGCTACATTGCTGTAGCTATGTCAGTGTAGACCGCACAGAGTAGACATAGCCTAAGTCATTTATGCTATTGCTTTTAAAAGCTTAGAATCCTCTCATGAAATAAGTTATACTTTGCTTTTCGGTAACACTGTAAACTATTTTTAAAATGGAATGTTATTCCAGTAAAAATCATTTTTAATTACAAAACTGGACAAATTCTGGAAAGGATTTTCTCAAGAAATATTCATTAACTATGCATACGTAGTATATTTTAAAATTTAAAAGGTGCTGACCAAGCAAGTTAATCTAGAATTTTTGTAAAATAAAAACAATTGTATCAGTCACTTTGTACCGCATTTGTGTCCATTTTGTATTGCAGCCTGTAAGTGAATCTGATCTTATTGATGAATTTTCAAAAGACTTTGTCTGTCCTGTGCCACCTGCAGCCCAATCTAAACCATCTAAACCCACCGACACATCTAAAGTAAGTAAGTCTTCTTTGATCTTAAGTAAAAAAATCTTCTTAATATTCAGTGTTCAATTTCACCGTCACTGGACAATTTTAGGATAGAGGAACACTTTAAAAAAGTACATGGTTCTCTGGTTTCTGTATCCCATAATATTCTCTTCCCAGAAATATCTCCTCATTTTTATTTTCTCCATGAGCTGTTCTCTGCTGCATTCTGTTGAAAGGTTTATATCTCCATGTTCTTTTTCTGGTTTTCATCGCTTTGTGCTTCAGTGCATTAATAAAGTTCACTGCATTTGTTTCTTTCAGAAACCTGCAGTTACTGCACCTGCAAAGGCTCCTGCAGAGGAAGTTGTCTCCTCTTCTGCAGTTTCTACTGTGCAATCATCAGCTCCATCAACTACTACTTCAGTGAGTAACCTGTAGAGAATCGAAATTGGTGCTAAAGTAAAAGCACAAAGCTGTTTTGTGAAAAGTTAGAGAAGTATGGCTTTGTGGGATACTATTGCAGACTTCCCAGTCAAGCACTTCAGAATAATCTCTTCATGGCTTATCTGTATGATATAGACTGAACTTCCGAAGGGACACCTGTGATTTGAACTCTTGTGATGACCCCTGCCATTTTTTCTTGAAACAGACAATCGTTTCGCCATGCTTGAGAGTATGTGCTTCACATGCTTTCCTGAATTCTTTTTAAGATGATGCTGTTTATGAACTTTTTATTACCAGTAAAGATAAATGTAATAAAACATTTTATGAAAAAAAAACAACTGCACTCCTATGTATTTGGGAAGACTATATTACTGGCAGACCTCCCTACTCTGTGGTCATGGAGTATATAAATCAAAACTTGTGGAAGTATCTAGTTGTTAATCATGTCTACCTGGAGAACACTCTGCCAAAGTCCGAGACAATCTGTGCTTCAGTGACACACTTTAGGGGGAAAGGCAATTTATAATTAGAGCCATACCAAATTCACAGTCCATTTTGGTAAATTTCATGTTCATTGGATTTTTAAAATGTTAAATTTCATGGTTTCAGATATTTAAATTTGAAATTTCACGGTATTGTAACCGTAGGGGTCCCAACCCAAATTGGGGATGGGGGTCGCAAGACTACTGTAGGGGGTTGCAGTATTGACCTCCTTACTTCAGCGGTGCTGCCTTTAGAGCTGGGCTCCCAGCCAGCAGCCATGGAGGTTCCTGCAATTGGGGGAGGTTCCCAGAGGTGGGTCTGACCTGGCCCTCGGAGCAGCCCATGCAGAGGAAGAGGATGTTCCAGCTAGGTTGGGACTAGCAACTAGAGCCCAGCATATGGTAGCAGTCCCCAGCTGGGGTGCCTCAACCCGTCCCCAGCTCTGGAACCAGCGCTTGGGGGCTAAAGGGGCCTTGGGCTGTCTGTGTGTGGTGGGATTTGTGAGCACAGTGCCCCCCAACCATGGCGCCCTGGGCGGTCACCCACCCGTAAGGCCACCCCAAAAGTGACCTCCTCCCCCCATACTATGCCATCCTTGCTTTTGCGCTGCTGCTGGTGGTGGTGCTGCCATCAGAGCTGGGCACCTGGCCAGAAGCTGCTGCTCTCTGGCTGCCCAGCTCTGAAGGCAGCACAGAAGTAAGAGCGGCAATCCCGTGACCCTCCTATAATAGCCAGATTTCACGGTCCATGATGCATTTTTCATGGCCATGAATTTGGTAGGGCCCTATTTATAATTTTTGAGTTTATTAGTATGGATAGTTGTATCTTCTCGAGTTTTCCATATATGTTGGTTGCAAAGTAAAATTGTGTTTATAATCTGTGGTTAGAAATTCTGAATATGTTTCTTCAAAAACAGCTTAATGTCAATAAAACTGCAGTTGTGTCTAATAACATCTAATGCTTTTGTAGGCTGGACATGTGTCAGATGAGGCAGTGGAAGCCTTGTGTGGTAGTCTAGGAAAGAGAGAGCCTGACCCAGAAGAAAACAAATCTGCTGTGGATAAAGTGAAGGTATTAAAATAGCCAGGCCTTCAAAAAACACTTTGTAAAAGTAGTTATCCTGAGTTATGTTGTATTAGCTTAGACCAGGGGTCGGGAACGTTCGGCACGCAGCTCGCCGGGGTAAGCACCCTAGCGGTCTGGGCCAGTTTATTTACCTGCCGATCGCGGCCCCCACTGGCCGCGGTTTGCTGTCCCGGGCCAATGGGGGCGGCGGGAAGC